ACATGCTTCTTTAATAACTTCAATATTTTCTTCATCATAGTCCTTGCAGATAACAGAAGAAGTTATTTTTTTGTAAAAAACGTCATTAGATTAAGCTTTGAAGAAAATAAGCAACTTAAAATGTAAACCATAAGAAAATGTAAGATATATATAAGTGTTGATATGGTTGCACGATAAGTTAGTATCAAATAATATATTCATATTATTTATTACATTCTTTTTATTGCTATATAGATGTTCTGAATTTAATGCGTTAACATAAATCATTCTTAATTATTACCAATCAATCTTGTGAATTAAATTTATACAATACTCCCTCCGTTTTTAAAAATTGATGTTTTAGACTTTTCACATATATTAAGAAAACTCATTAAATTTTGATTGTAAATGCATTGTTTTTTATGAATAAATTTTTTCCATAGCTTTTAGCCAATATAAATTCAATAAACACCATTAATTTTTTTGAAACTTACAGTTTTTCATTAAATCATACATTGAAAAGATAAAAAATCAATCTTTCTGAAATTTGATTTAGGAACGGAGGGAGTATATGTTACGTGATGTTGTAATCGTCATTAATTGGTAATCATTAATGTGGTAGACGTGGACATATTTTTCATTCAAGGCAAGTTGTGAGAATTAAATAATAAACAAGTAATAATATAATTGTTAAATGACGATAATAATAACTATAAAAATGACCTTATTATATATTGAGATCTGAAAAAAATAATCTAATAAAAATATAACTAAAAAACAGTAACGAAAACATTGACTAAATAATAACATGTTATTAGAACGAAAATTAGATAATTTCATCTCTTTCAGCAGATTATTACTAAAACATGAGTGTTATTACAATGCAATTATTTTAAAAATTGTCATGAGCACAAGAAAAGACTCAATGTGTTTTTATTTGAAATAAATAATAATGAATAACGCGGATAGTGACAAAAGACTAAATGTGTTGTTCCTGAAAACTATTCACAAATAAATATTTTTTAAAAAAATTCGAGATCACTCGCCCTTGATTTTTTTGTGGGAATGTTTTTTGTTGACAGAGTGTTGATCCTCCAAGGTTACTGTCATGATCTTCTTGTTTTTTTCTTTTGGACAAATGAGTTCCTGAAAAATCACCACAAGGAAATATCACCTAAGGACTGCAACATCATGACCTGCAAGAGAAATAGTTCATCTCATTAGTATGCTATTGTAACTATTAAATCTAAGCAATTATAAAGTGTAATACCGATTTAGAAGGCAAAGCAGAAAATATTAATTTTTTATAATAAGTATTTAAACTGAATAAAGAAAGTTATTAGATCTATAATATCATAAGCTGATTTGAATTAAATATTAGTTTTCTTGTGCAAGTTATATTAATTTAAAATAAGGCATGAAGCAATTTAAAGAAATATATTAAAAAATTGGAAAACAATTCATAATAAGCCATGAAGCAATTTAAAGAAAGATATTAAAAATTGACTGTCATAAATTTGCAATAATTGACATACTATTTAAGACAAGTAATTGATGGCAAAATAAGGTAATCAACATATCAACTTGCGCAAGTAATTGATAACAAAATAGGGCAAGTTATTAATAAACGGATTAACTAATTAAAAGCTTTTACCAACAAGGTATATCTTTCCTAATACCATAATATGAGTATAAAATTAAAGAATAATAAAGAGTTTTGATTTTGATATATTGTAAATCTATAGAAATATATAACACAATCCCATAGAAACCTGCAAAGAAAATGTAATAAAAATTTTAAATATAACCCATAAGTAATATTTAAAATAAGAAAATTTTAAATATAACCCAATAGAAAAAACAAACAAATGTAAGAATTTATAAATTTAAATTTTTTTATCGAATAAAAATAGACTAATGAGTTAGTATTGGCATCCCTTAGGTGTCTCCTTTATATATACTTCACCTTCCTTTTTTATTATGTTATTAGGGAGATATTTTCATAACAAATGATGTTTAGGAATATAATTTCATAAGAAATAATGAAGTGAACAAAACCGGATAAGTGATGGAACGATATGGTCCACAGAACATGATATCTGCATATAAACCAAAAGAACATTACCCATATAGGCCTACAGAAATAAGCCTCCAGCCTAATGCACACAAACATTCATGGTTATGATGAAGATGATGACATACACTATAACGAACTATTTGCTAGTAACAAGGTTCTAGTGAAGGCTATTAATGTTAGTGATTTTCTATGAACATTGCATCTCATAAATTTCTACCATTGTAATCTTCAAGGGTTTGTATCCAGATATAGAAACCATATACAGTGTCTTCCTATATATATAGACGACCAATCAACTTCCTATTCTCAAGGTTCCTAGTCTCAAGTGTGTGTGATCTACTGTTTAAAGCATAAACAATAAGAGAAGAATGCTTTACCAATTGCCTATCGGTGGCTGCAGAGATATCGTTGCTTGGTGTTGATACCAGGGCAAGCTCCCATCCTGAAGGGTCATAATTGTTTGCGTTACCAAAACGAGGGGTTGCAGGGTTATCTGGAAACAGAGACATAGAACAGAGATGAGTCAAAGGGAGAAACGGTATTAATGACAATGTAGTTCAGATTATTGTATAACAAGAAGCTCACCATCTGTTGGTATTATGGCTAAAGCAAGTGCATTTTGGTTCTCAATCGCTGATGCATCACGACCACCAGAGTTCAGACCCTGTGTCGAAAATTGAACTAAAGAGAACCTGAGAGTTAAGAATAGCAATGGGAAAGAAAAACTGAAATCAACACTCATTAACCAAATATAATAGGAGTTTCACCAGTAGATCATCTGTATCAGTGATGTTTTGTGACTGAGTGTTGGCCGAAGGAGGAGGAGGGGGAGAAGGTTCAGTCTCATCAGATACAAGAACAACATCATCTGAAGGCAACACAACTTCACGTTCTTCATGAGACGGTTCAGTATCTTCGTCAGGAAGTCCATCATCCGGCCTATAAGTTAGAAGCTGCATGTAGACAACTTCATTTAGCACATAAAACCCCAGAGAAAGAGACAAAAGGATCACTAATATGAGAAAATATGCTTATACCAGTGGCTCAGCTGGGGCATCGACCACACGAGGTGCTTCTTTAATATACTCCTCCATTGTAGCCAGAAAAGATTGTGGTGGCTGTAGAAAAGAAGTATGTTATAAGTAACCGTAATGAGTAATAGCTGCAAGCAATCATCTGGTACCTCTCTTAGTACAGGAAACTGAAAATTCCTAGCGAGTTCCAATCCTTTACAGGCTTCGTAGAAATCAGAGAGGCTACGTGCCTGAAAGAATACATCATCCATCATTAGACAAGAAAAAGTAACGTCTAGGCAAAGAAAATAGTACAACAACATCAAACCTGTTGACCAGCACGCTTGTATATTTCAAGGGAACTGATGGCTTCGTGTTTCGGCATTTCAAAGAACTGCAATAAAATAATTGAAAAAAAAACTGAGTAGGAAGAAAGGTAGAGAGACATGATCACTATGATTGCAAACACACAAGATAGACCTACCTTGTCAATAAGATTAATGATGCCGTCATTGATAGCACAATAAACTTTAAAACTCTCCTTCAACACCTATCATTCCATCAAAAAGATGGTAAGAATTTTTAGCTTTGCAAAGCAAAACACCAACCACTGTCTACAGTTCTGGTAAGTTTAATTGGTATGACCACGAAAATTATCACGTACCAGAGCAAGTGCATATTGTATAACATGGTTGTGATTAGCAGCGCCTTCTGGCTGAACAAAAGTAAAGGTGCAAGCCAGTTCATTGATCAGCAAATGCAGCCGCAAACAGTCAGCAACACAAACAAATAAATAAAAAATACCCTGCAACCGATGAGACGATACAGAAGCTGCTGCAAAGCTGGCAACTGCACCAAGAGCTCTTCACCATCTAAATCCCTGGTTCTACTATACCCCTGCCAGTCCATAATATGCAAAATCAAAGTCATCAGAAACAAAAAAGATGTCTTAAGGTAAGAAATGCTCGAAGTAGAAGAATATTGGATACCTTATCCTGCCCTGGGGTAGCCTTTGGAAGACGCTCAGCCTCAGTATCATATTTCAAAACCCTGAAGCACTCAAGCCGTTCCTCAAGAAACAACGCATAAGTACGTACCCAAGCTGAACAATCCCAAGCTATGCGACAAAAAAACAAAAACACACTCTATAAGAACCTCTCTTGACTCAAACACCCTGAAAATTTAGGACATACCAATAGGACTTGAATCATCCTTGAAATTAGAAATCTGCGTGTCTCTCATGAAATATAAAAGCTTAATGTTCTAAAATAAGAAGAAAAAAAAAGTTTAGAACATTATTAACATAAAAAATTCAGAATACAAAGTTCAATGATTTCATTTCTTCTACTGTGAATGTCTTATTTATAGTAAATTGATGGACGTTTCTCAATGATTTAGCTTGCATGATAAGCTAAGAAGTAACATATTCTCTAATAAATTCTCAATAAATCTTATACTTTAAAGTTAATATTATTTTTGGAATATCTTGTTGATAAAGCTAAAGAAGAACATCTCGTGAGAAAATATTGGTTTTAGAGAGAAAATATCTTATCAATTAATTTTGTTTTAAATGCATGATTTTAAAAGTGAAAATATCTTGTCAATTAATTTTGTTTCTCTGACATCTAAAATATTTAGTGAGTATTTAATGAATTAAACAGAGAAAGGATCGCAAAATGATGTTCTTTGAATCGAGAAAACACAAAAGGTAAGTATTTAAATGGATTTCCTTTTTATTAGTGTCGATGGTAAAAATAAATCAAAAAAATAAATTGTAAAAAATCAACCAATAGAATCGCTAGAATTCTTCTGAGAATGGCCGTGTGAGTGACACGTGTCAAAGTGACTTCTCTTTTAATGTATAGGGGGATTTCATTCCCAAGTTGAGCCAGTTCAAAATATGACACAAACCGATAAGATAATAAATTTCTGGAAAATCCTATGTAAATATATAGTCCATTAAAATTATAAATTAATAATTTGAATGTGTATGTATATATATTATATATAGCACAAATAAATTATGATATCTTTTTATATTCATAATAAATTTATCTTTATATTTTCTTAAAACTAAGGATATTTTGATAAGATTAGTAAAATTATATCTAAAAGCACATTTAATTCTATGAAATATATTTTAGATACATCAAATAATATATTAAAACAATATAAATAATAAATTTCAAAAATTAATTTATATATTAAAACAAAATAGAAAAATCTATAAAATGAATCTGTCTGTAAATTAATAACTCTATAAATTAATAAAATATCATAATCCTAACATTAATAATTTATAGAGTTTTTACTGTAGTAAACATGTAATTATCAATGCAAACATGTCCTTATCAGTATCTTTATCATTATCTATTGAAATTTTATTAGTTTTATTAATTTATAATTGTATTCAACAATTTAATGTAAAATTTATAATTAAAATATTAAGTTCTCAACATTTTTTCAATGAAAATTTTGAAATCATATATATATATATATATAAATCTGAATATCAGTTAAATGAGACTTTTACTCATATGGTTTGAAGATTATGGTCTTGTTATAACAAATTAAACACCTGATCACAAAATTTTCAATTTGAGACATTTAACCATTTTATAATTTATATTCGTTTAAAAAAGAAACTAAAACATATACAAAAAAATCTAAATTTTTCATTATTGTGATTGTTTATTCTTTTAATAATATAAAATAAAGCAAAAATAATATAGGATATAAAAATTGTTATCAAATATTAATTATTCAAATCATTATCAAATATATATTAATCATATTATGTAATTCTGTAGCTTTTATGTAAGGAAAGAAACTATTTTTCATTAATAACTGATTTTATGGTTAATTAAATGAAAATATCATATATGTTTAGATAAATCAACCTATTTCTCTTGGAGTTCTAAAAATCCTCGTATTGATGACACATTACATAGTTTAAATGTTGTAATGCTTCTTAAATATTTTATAATAAAAAATTTGATGTAAGGATATACAGAAGATTAATAAAAAACAATTTATTTGATTTATATGGATTTAAATGTTATACAATAATTGTGTTATGATTATTGATTTATACAAAAATAATTTTATTGATTTAATAAAATTTAAACACTGCTCGGAATTATATTTTTAAATATATAAATATAAGATAAAAAACTGGTGATTTTAACTTAATTTTAATAAACTGAAAATCAATATAAAATTGTTACGTCAAAAATATTTATTATATTGTTACTTTTAAATTTTAAAATTGATAAATGAAAGTTATATTTATATCTGTATAAATGATTTTGAAAGATCTATTTCTACGCATGAAATCAACTCCTAGAACCATATCTCAAATTGATTCAAAGTGTCCTACACAAAAGAATTTTAAAAATAAATATAGTATATGTTTTGATGGATCAGACTATTTCTCTAGGAATTCTAAAAAATCCTTGTATTGATGACACATTACATAGTTCAAATGCTGTAATACTTTTCAAATAATATGGGTTTTTTGCAAAATTAAGTCACAACTCAAAGTCAAATACAAAACTAATTTCTTCTTTTGTCTCATCTTTCTTTTGCTATATTCACCCCCACATCTTCATTTTATCTACGAAAACACCATTAATTTTTTTTTGTAATTTTTTTTCGAAAATGACATTTTTACTCTCTTAACCTCATCATCTTCAAGTATTTACAACATTATCATTTCCATGAATACGCCCAACAACCTTGTACAACCAGTTTGAAACTTTTAATGCACTTAAAATCGATACATAAACTCTCTTTCTCAATTGTCATGAACTAAAAACAACATCCCCTTCATTTTGTCTCCACATTCATACAAAAACCCAAGCTTTTGATTTCAAATTTTTTATGGTTAATAGAGCCATTTAAGCATACAATTCTTGGTGAGTTACTTTCGTTTGATGTTCTGGGTGGTTGGAGAAGACTCTGTGTGCAAATGAATTCATCTCACCTAATTTAAGGTATGAAATTGAAATCTTCACTAAATATGTTCCCGTGGAAGACTTTCCCGTAAATCTTCTGGATGTAGAAGACTTACGGATAAGTCTTCTGGTCAAACGGATGACTTACTTCTAAGTCGTCCAGCTTTCTATGTTAAAAAAAAAGCTTGACGACTTATAAGTAAGTCGTCTAGAAAAAATGGGCTAGTTTTGCATTTGACCAAATTGTGTCAGATGTTTGACTTTTCCTGGACGACTTACCAGTAAGTTGTCTCTGGGAAAGTTAAAATTTCAATATTTTTTTTAATTCAAGACGACGTACGGATAAGTCGTCTTAGGTTAATTTTGTAATTGAAAAATAAAACTTTAATTATAACTTTTCTCAGAAGACTTAATTTAAAATCGTCCAGCCAGACGACTTATTATAAAGTCGTCCGTGATAAGCAAAGTCGTCCAGATTTTTTTGGTCAAACCTTGCTTATCTCGGACGACTTTCGAATAAGTCGTCATACTAGACGACTTTAAAGTAAGTCTTCTGGAAAAAGTTGTAATTAAAATTTTATTTTTCAATTACAAAACTAACCTAAGACGACTTATCCGTAAGTCGTCTTGAATTAATAAAATATGGAAATTTTAACTTTCCCAGAGACGACTTACTGGTAAGTCGTCCAGGAAAAGTCAAATATCTGACACAATTCGGTCAAATGCAAAACTAGCCCGTTTTTCCTAGACGACTTACTTATAAGTCGTCTAGGTTTTTTTATTTTAACATACAAGCTTGATGACTTAGAAGTAAGTCGTCTCATTTAAATTTCAATTGAAAAAATGACTTGTCTGGAAGACTTACCCTTAAGTCGTTCGGACGACTTACTTGTATGTCATCTGCGTTAATGTTTAGTAAACTTTCATTTTCTCTATGTTTTCTAAAGTGTTTTTATTTTGAATTTTTGTAGATGATTCGTCAGTTACATGCAGAGTATGGAGAATGGTTGTTCAAAGATGGCTGTTGGGATTTTGTGGTTGATAATTTCAAAGGAGCGAGAATGTTTTTTTTGAGTGAAGGTTCGACACATGCTGAACTTGTTTCAATGGCTCAAGAAGATTATAACTTGAACATGAGCATAGTTACTGTGGAGATAAGCTACTCATTACCAGCAGAAGTGAGGATGGCTCCAGCCACCCCTCCCATTCATGTTACAAGTGATAGACAAGTTCGAAACTTGCTCGAGATAACCAAAACGCATAGAGTATATCTTTGTGTATCAAGCTGTAGAAAGGTGGAAACGGTTTCAGAGGAAAAGGAAGAAGCTGATGAATGGTTTGAAAATGATGAAGCTGATGAATGTTTTGAAGATGATGATGATAATGAGTTTGTTGAAGATGAAAATCATGATGGGGATGAGGATGATGGGGAGAAGGATGATGGGGAGGAGGATGCTGATATCTCTATTGTTTCTGAAACGGACGAGAATGGTGAGGATTACAGTGTTTATGGAAATGTTAAAGATGATGATGAGGAAGAAGAGATGATATTAGTTTTGAAGATTTTGAAAAGACATATGCTATTGAAGGAAGAAAATCGAATGGTAACAATATCTATGTCAACAAGAGTTTTGTTAGCAAGGATACACTGCTTTCAGAGCTGCGGTTTACAACAGTGATGCGTAAGTTCTCCTTCAGAATATACAAGTCAACGAAAACTCTCCTTGTGGCAACATGTCGGGTTAGTGGTTGTGGATGGAAGATCAAAGCAAGTATGAAACATGGGACAAACACGTTTTGGGTAACAAAATATGTGGAAACACATACATGCTCAGTGGGAGACCGAATCGCTCAGCGAAGACACTGTACTCCGAAGTATGTTGGTAGGCTTTTCATTGATCGTGTTGGAATCATTGATGGGTTGACTCCGCAGCATATCACTGATGCAATGAAGAACATGTTTGGCATGACGCTTGATTACACCACTTCATACATAGCACTTTTATATGCATAGACATTGGTGAGAGGATCAGCAGAAGATGGATATTCGCGTCTGCCATCATATCTTGAGCAAATCTCCTTACCAAATCTCGATTCTATCACGGCTATAAAACTTCATTCTATCAATAGATTTAAGTATCTATTTCTCTCTTTTGGAGCTTCTATCAAAGGTTTTAAGTATCAGAGAAGGGTCATTGTGGTGGATGGGACTCACCTAAGTGGGAAGTATGGAGGTGTTTTGTTAGTTTGCAGCCGCACAAGATGGGAATTTTCAGATATTTCCAT